GTACTAAGCGACTTACCGATATTAAGAGCTATCTGAACGTCTCTAGAAAGTTAGATTTAAAAAGAACTCATAGCTCAACTCGAAGCTTGTGTATCTCTCTCATTTTGTTTTAGACAATTATTAATATTTTCCTATTGACTGATACAAAAAGGAGAGGGGCGGATAAGGTCATTTTTCGGTCCTTAATATTTTTCATTAAAAATCATCGATTTCTACGTTACTCAAGATGCTGAACAAAATGGCCTATGTAGTTTTTTGAAATTCAATACTTCATTTTTTTCGGCCTGAGGTACCCCTCAGGAAAAGTGAAAAATTCTTTTCTTCAGTTGTTTTTTAAAACATATGCCAAATATTGTATTAATGACGAGAAAACAATGCACGTTGGTGAAGAAAATTGCGTTTTATTCTCCGAAAATAATTCACCATAACAATTAGAAATAATGCTATTGCGACCTCAAAAATATGTTTTAAGCCGATCAAGAGCACCCTCTATACTCAGAAATAGTTGCTCTATTCAGTGTAATCTTTCAAAACATTTTAAAATAGTTTTTTAAAGCAAAAAATGAAAATTGCAGAGGAAATCCAAGATTTTTTTGATGGTACTTGAAGTGTTTTTGCTGTTATATGAGAACAAAATGAAGAAGCAATCCCTAGAGAATGTACTTGATTCAAGTACCTGATTACTTGCTAAGTACTTGTCAATGATCGAAATACTTGCCATATTGCTAAGTATTTTATGAAAGTACTTGGCAAGCAACGACAAGTACTTATAAGTAAATTTACTTCTGTAAAAAAGGCAGGTACCGGCTTCATTACGCAGACGAAGTACTTGGTCCAAGTACTAGTCCCCAAGCACTTTCTCTAGGGATGTCAACCTAATAAGATATATGCAGTCTTTTATGCTCTATCCAATAGTATCAATTTTTCAATTTTTTTATGCAGAAACAAAAAAAAGAACGTGAAACAACAAATGAATATTTTTTTTATAAATCAGTTTTTAGCTTTGGTTTATTTCTTTGAGTCCTGTGGTCTATTTCATGTCCAGTTGCTTACCCCACAGATTGAGGGAAAGCTACGGTTGCTGATACCCTTCAATTTGTTTCCCACAACCAGAAATTGGTAGAGGGATTTCGTTGTGAATCGCAAAATATAGTTTACAAGCCAAGAACTATATTTGTCCCCCGTTCATTGTTCACATTAAACTATAAAGTGTACCATCGTCATCACTATCGTCTAAACTTAAATCCGAGAGATCATAAGCATCTTTAAAATAATTAATATAACTATTTGTTGGTGAATATAATAATGTTGACTCGTATCTTGCTAAACCTAAATGCCAAATTATACTTGCCACATGACTACAAAAATGCACCCTCACCGAATATCAACTTTAAAACGAACAAAACAAAAACAAAAAAAAAGTTTTTAAATCAAAAATTCAAATTTGAAATTTATAGATTTTTTTATTTCAATTTTCTGACCTACTTGGCTTTTTAAAACATTTCAGAAAGTATATCAGTGGATAGAGAATTAAACTTTCTACAAAACACTATTAACGTTGTCAGAAAAATGCATGTTACGGATTAAAGAAGTTTTTCCGGGTTTTTGCCGAATTCGAAATGGAGCGTTTTTTTGATTAATTGTACGAAAATCAACAGCATTTCTCCTACAGTTCTTTTGTGTTTAGTTTGATAGAGGCACTCGATGGCATAAGGCTCCGTGCAAATCGAATTTACAGTAGTCTTTTTACCGGTAGAAATATAACGATATAACCCACCGCAAAAGAAAGAGAAAAAATGATGTAATTCCGTCACGGTGCCATTTCGCTTATTTCTTTTCTTTTAAGCATTTTTAAGAAAAACTAAAGAGACTCGAAAGCTCTTTTCATGTTCTACAACTTTTATATGAGACTTTTTTTCTGCATACGTCTCGTTTTAGAGCATTTTTCAAAGTTTGTGGAACTAATAGTTTATTACACGATTGTATCTGATGGAGTCCTGTCACTTCAATTCAAATTGATCAATTAATCAATTAATGAATGAATCAATATCTTCAGAAGAAAGACAAAATGGCGAATTTGTGAAATATAATAGATAGATCGTTCATCAAAATGAGAAGAAAACTCCGGATTCAAAATCTCGAGGCGTCTCTGATCAAGCACGACTTAGCTGGAATCCATATACGTGAATATAATGGTTTGTTTTTCGAATAGAGCAGTTTTCACATAGGCTTTTCCATAACTGGCCTGAGTTGATATTGACATTTGAAGAGAAAGAGCGTAAGGTGATAACGTTGATATGAAACGCTTTCATTTTTTGTTTCTCAATAATTTATTACGCTCTAATTTTATTTTAGAAAACTTCATTTTTGTTGAAAAATTGTTAGAAAAACGTAACGTTTATCGCATGAAAACAAGACTCTCAAGAAGTAGATCCAAGATTCCCTGACCGGTTACTGTGTCAGCTTACTGATTCCGATGTATCGTTATCCGAAAGAGTCTCAAGCCATTGGTTAAGACATGTATGTAATGCGGTGATTAATGCTTGTGTGTCATAATGATTGATTTGTGCTACTGTACGCTCATTGTTTCTTAAATTATGATCTTTCAACTTTTTACAATAACCAATACCAAAATAGATTAATTTATATTCCAATTCGCTGATATCAAATATATTTTGTAGTTTCCGATAACCTTTTAGATCACGCCAGTTTGTCGTGTTGGTAACAGCAGAAGCATCTACACAAAATACATAGGCCTCGGTGATCTGTGTATTAACTGGACGTAAATAAGAATCCATTTGTAGAACATTATCGTTTGACGTAAATAACGATATACATTTATTCCTATTAGTGTCGTTGCTCATGAATTGATTACACAGATTTAAATTATCGAAAAATTGAATGAATTTGAGTAATGCGGTGTTTTGTAGGTCAGGATGATTATTTTGGTTTCCATTAAGCTCATTAACTAAAATGGTCGCAACATGACAGTCATCGTAAGGTGGTTGTATGCGCAGTTCAGATAACGAAGGCATATCATACGACAGTCTTGAACATAATTAACTAATCTAGAAACGAAAAAAAAATATGTGTTGAATATTGACTAATTAATACATAAGATCTAACTTAGTCAAATTATTATCACCGTTAAATGAAACCGAAATGTTGTTCGCACAGTAGGACTTTTCTAAGTAATAAAAAGAACACGAAATATATTCGAAATAAAATATATTTACTGATCCTTCAGAAAAAAGGCGAAGAAGTACTGATACAGCAAACCGATCAAAAATTACTTGTCAGTCCATCCATCCTGTTTGTAAATTTTCTGTAAGCATTTTACAAAGGTCTCGTGCTTGTTGATATTTTGATTTGACCAAAATATTTCTCTTTTGTCGTCGTAATTCATGCCCCTGTAGAGTATAATAATCGATGAGATTACGAATCAATTCAAAAAGCAAATCATTTTCATTTGTGAAGATACCACAAAGCTTTTTATTTGCAATTGTGTGATGAATTCCTTCGTTATCGTAGATACAGATGGCTTTTATTTGCAGGTTTTGCAGATTCGACATCAGTTGAACATCAGCCATGCCTAATATAACAAGATATATTGATCTGTGTACATTTTCTTGAACAGTATTAATGCATTTCTTCACGTTGGTCTCAAGGACTAAAGTTGTACTCAATGCCTCTAGAGTAACTTCCATTGAGTGTATGTTTTTCTTCAATAAATTCAATGTAATGATCATTGGGATCTCGGTACTTCTAACTGTTGAACGATTCGTTACTGCCATTAAGTGAGCGTCTGCTATTTCCATCTGTCTAACCAACAAATCGTTTCTTTCATGTCCTGTCTGCAAACCTTTTTGAATAGGTCGATCTTCAGTGCTCGAATAAAAACATTCACTAAATACAAAACTAAATTCACTACACATAATAACAGATAAATATTAAGAACTTGATGGATCCAAGTCGATTGCAGATTGGTATTCTCAATAGCCAATATTTTGTATGAAATAAATTTTCAGTCGAGATACTTCTGCAAAACCGCTCGATGTCGTATAGCTTTTGGTGTCCTCTAAGAACTTTTTAAAAATACCATTGGGCAAAAAAACTGGAGAAAATTTGTTATTCGAGGATATTTTTCAAAAAAACCTTAAAAAATACTATTTTTGGTGAAAAATAATTGCGGAAGAAAATATTTTGACATAAATATGAAAGTTTTTCATTTTTACAAAGAGATTCTGTATGTCTGATGGATAGTTTGAATCTGCGACCAGCTTCGAGAAAGTTGTTTTTAGAGTTGTATCACCATATGATTCGAAAGCTGATATGATCATATGCTCACACTTACGCTTTTCGTACGGTAGAAACACAGTCGTCTAAAACAAAATGAGAGAGATACACAAGCTTCGAGTTGAGCTATGAGTTCTTTTTAAATCTAACTTTCTAGAGACGTTCAGATAGCTCTTAATATCGGTAAGTCGCTTAGTACTGTATAAAATAGGTTTCCGTAGTCCTTTTTTTGAACGAGTTCCTACAAAATAGTGAATACTTCACCGATCAGCAGATGGGTGTTCCGTATAAGCACTTGAAAAACAATTTTCTCTATGAGAAATATTCTCATTTAGGCGCAACTGTATTAACTTATATGAAAAAATTAGAGCACTGTTTTGTAAATAAAATCGATGACTAAGCACAGTTAGATAGCACTTAAATCCAGAGTAATCTGAAAGTCAATCAGAACGGTTAGCAAAACTCACGAGGAAACATCTCGAGTTGTTTAATCGCTTTTGAGCCTATATTTTGCCCACAATTAGTGCTACTATGTAGTACGGGCTACGACAATCATCTACTCATTGAGATTCTGCTGACGAGTTTCTAGAGCTCACATACGTAGATAGATTTTTAGAACTATCGAACAAGTTTTTGCTAAGTTTTAAAAATTTTATTTTCAAGTACAACGAAATGTTCAAGGGGAGAGGATTCACAAGGGGTCTTTTTAAAATTTTAAAATTTCGTAGTTTTCAAGTTAAAAATCAAAAACAAAAAATTTTGAAAAAAGCTCTCGTTAGGGACGCCAGAATTCGATTTTTAATAACTTTTGTATCCGGAGTTTTGCTTCTAAAAGTTCGAATGAAACTAGTCGTAAGACTTTTTTCAAAATACTTTTAGCTCTAAAATTGTTCTTGGAAGGTGAAAAGGTTAAATTTCTACATCATACTTCATTCGTGAACGATGAAAAGCTTTTCTCTTTATACAAGCTAATGTTCTCTATTGAACTACGCTAGAATCAACTCTTCATACCAAACTGAAGTTTTTATTCAAATTTTAAAAATAGGGCAGAAAACCTGAAAAAACTTACAAATATTTTTATCAAAAAACACAAATTCAGAAATCGAAAGCTTTGTTGAAACATATACTTCAAGGTGTCCTCTACAAACTGGTGAAAAAAATCGGATGGCAGACCCCACTTCGTTGACACTATCCGTTTTTAAACACAATCAATATACTCTGCTGGTTTTTGAATAACTTAGGATTAAAAGGTGGTAGAGATTTGCACTTTTCACTGATCGATCGATAGCCAAAACTTTTAGTCATGTCTTTCTAAGCAAAAAACAAAAATTGTTTCCAAAACCTTTTATTCCTGAGTTATTCGAAAAACAACCGAGTATACTGTGTTTTGAAACAGATAGTAGCTTCTGCAGAAAATCGGAAGCTTTATTTCAGAAATCATTTTTTTGCATGCATTTTCTTATCTCAAAATACAGCTAATGGTAAATCGAAGAGACATGCACAGCATTAGTGAGTGAGTAATAATAGAAGAGTTTGACGCATTGTTTAGTAGAAAAATAATTTTGAAAATCTTCTTTTAGAGCAGGATTTCAATGAAATTTCTAGAAACCTAGTTTGTATCTTAAAAAAATGAAATGTCTCTTTTTTTTCATCAATAGATACCAGTAAATGTTCTCGCCTGGAAACCACGCGACAGCTCCGTTTTCAAGGAGCGCGATTTAATGCGAAAAAAGATATTTTATCGTTATGAAATCATAACAAGTTTTGAAAATACTTATAAATCTCTCATCTAGCGAAATTGATATTAACTTTCTCAGAATAAGACATCTTTTCCATAAAAACTTACACACTGCATCTAATCATCTAATCTGCTACGCACAAGAATTCTCATTCCAGATAAATGACGGAGAGCTCGGACTATTCTTGTTCTGTAGTAAACACCTATAGTTAGGAGTTGACAGAGCCCGATTTTTAAAATTTTCATTTACTGATTTTCTGGTGCTTAATAGAACTTTAAAGTTCGAAAAATCCTTCGACGGTTTCTTAGATATCCTCATTTCTTAAGATACGGAAGCAAGATTTAAAAATCAGACTCTGTCAACTCCTAGCTATAGTTGTTATCTAAAAATAAAAAACAGACTTTCTTCGACGTATCGCCATCGAGAATTCCTGTGTGGTGAAACTAAAAAACCGTCTTGAGATAAGCGTAAAATGAGTTTTGATTCTGTTAAATGCGTTTTACTTGAAAACTATTTAAAATAATTAGTTGATACTTTTCTAAAGATTATCGGTCACTGGGGATCTAACGGACATGTGTGACACATGCATGCGCATATGTAGACACAGTTACCTGGAAAAAAGACACTTTTTTATATGGGTTCTGGAAAACTCGCTCGAAATCTGTCATTTTCAAAAATACTTTCTTTGTAAGATTTGTTCTACAAGGTCACTTTTTCTGTTAAATTCAATAATTTCATAATTTTAACAGCCTCAAAAGATTTCTTTTGGATAACTGTGAGCTTTCGAATATATGTAATTCAATGTGCTCTGCTCTTCCTGATTACGTTTCAATTAGAACTTAGTTCTAACTTTTAATATTTTAGAACTAGTTTTACGAAAGTTAGAATGTACTATACTCAATTTAAGATTTTAAACGGGACTATAACTCAATAAAATGCACGCACCTTGCAAAGTAGATACCTTTTGTTCGAAGTTCGACAGAAACCGTCTTAATGGTATTATCCACCTATTTGTTCTTTAACATTATTTTGATGGCTTTTCAGCAACGAAAGCATGATTTGTTTTACAGTTAATACTACGCTCTCTGCTATTTGTAAGGAAAAACTCCTAGATATAGATCAGAAATTTGTATTATAAAGCTTTTTTTACTTACTAAAACTATCATCTTCAACATCATCGAAGATCTTCCCAAGAATACTGTTATATGTTTCCGAATTTGATTGCACTGAAGGATTTTTTCTACAGCCTGTCGAAACTGTTGTTGCTGGTGGTGTTCTTTGATATCCTAAATGTTCCGATTTATATCCGATATTATCGTCTTGTTGTGAAAACATCAGTATATACCTTCTCTCAAAAGATTTGCCACATCAGAGCATCCAATTGTTTCAAATACATCAATCAGAAAACTACAATCTTGAACTGAAATTTTAACTCTATCGAATAATGCTTCTAATAAATTTAATGTACCAGTTGTTGATTGATCATCCAGTAGAGCACGTGGAATAATATTACCAACTAAGAAATATAACTTCTTACGATCATTATCTGATAAACGATCTTGTGCTTTCAATAAAATATTTCGACAATGTAAGTCACGGTCCATCATAACTGTTCTTTGTATTCTACAATTAGGATTGGAGTAATGATATTTGTTAATAATAAGTGAATAATTTTTTGTAAAATACTTTGTTTCAATACTGTAATGTAAACTACATAGGTCGAATATATTTAAGGAATTTTATGTACGATCTTGTATGTATGAACGAACAAAGAAATGACACTTTTCTTCCTCGTTATTTGTCGTTTCTGATAGAGGAGAATGTTAAGAGCAATCCTAAATAGATGATTTATCAACGAAAGTAACTGAAAGACGAATGAACTTGTTTATTGTATATTGTTTTTATCTAAAAAGAAGAGATCAGAAAATTTTCTAAATTTAACATGATATTTCCGTGTCAAAAAACTGTTTACAGATTATCGCTCATCTAGAGAAAATAATCGTTACTATGCTACATCTTCAATTCTCCGATTTCTTATTTATTTAACTTAGTAATAAATGACCGACGACATCACATTATAAAACCACAAAAGAAAGCTTAAGGTTTAACATTAAACTGCTACGGATAAAGAAGATGATTTTCATCATGACCAGATTTGTACTGAAAATGCTTTATTTCGAAAAGCATTTTTCTAACAAATCGTTCTCTTAATTCTCCTGCTTTTTCCATCACGTTACGCTCCTGAACATGACGAGTTCTGTACTACTTATTTTGTAGTAATATAGTTTCTAACGGCGTTAATTTGATCAATTTGTATAGAAAATTCCACTTTGAACTAGTCCAAAGTATAATTTCACTTTCGCCTAGATTTGGTTTAGGCCAAAATTAAATTTCAGTATGAACTAGTCCAAAAGTAAAATGTAATAAAAAGCGTCAGTCCAGTGTCACATTGGACTGAAAACGCCAGGCGAATCTAAGAGTGGACTAGTCCAAAGTATAATTTAGAATTAACCAGGCTAATGTGATATTGGCCTAGGCTAACGTCAAATCAAAATGATAATTCACGAAAGAATTGATCATTTGTATTGGAAAATTGCTTGTAATGAAACAATGTCTTGTTCTACGATGAATTTTTTTTGTCAACACATTTGAAAAAGATACAGACAATGTGAATCAAAAAGAAGAGAGTCTTGAAAACGAGAAAATCACCAAGCGTCTATAAAACGTTGTTAACAGAAATTTATTTAAACTAATTAATAAATAGAAATTAATTTTGTTTAAAGTACTTCAAAGAAATTTGAGTCTATAAATTAATTTAAACTGATTTCTAGTGTCAAATTAATATATATTATTTTTCTTTAAATCAATCTAAATGAATTTATTGATCAAAACTAATTTAAATCAATTTTCAATCAAAAAACTCGTTTCAACCAATATAACGAAAAATAATATACATCAATTTGGTATTAAAAATTAATTTAGATTAATTTGTAGTTTCAAATTTCTTTGAAGTGCTTTAAACAAAATTAATTTCTGTTCGTAAATTAATTTAAATCAATTTGTAATAACTAATTCATTTAAATTGATTTAGAAAACATTTGCTAAGATCGATTTCAAAAATCCCATATTAATCTGAACAAATTTCTATACGAAGAATTAATGTACAGGGTGCGTAAAAATGTTTTTCCAGGGGGGTAACGCTATAATTGCGAATAGGGTAAGTAATGAATTTTATACCAGATGAAAGCCCGTCGAAAACGGGATTTATTGATGCTAAATAGTAAG